TAAATGCCGATGCAACGCGTATTTCTGTGCCCCAAAAATATTAAATTCGTCACAAATTAGTACTTTAAATTTCGATGCAACGCGTACTTCAGTTCCCTCAAAATATTAAATTTGTCACAAATTAGTACTCTAAATGCCGATGCAACGCGTATTTCTGTGCCCCAAAAATATTAAATTCGTCACAAATTAGTATTTTAAATTTCGATGCAACGCGTACTTCAGTTCCCTCAAAATATTAAATTTGTCACAAATTAGTACTCTAAATCCCGATGCAATGGGTATTTCTGTGCCCCAAAAATATTAAATTTGTCAGAAATTAGTATTCTCAAAGTCCCTATGCAACGCGTACTTCTGTGCCCCAAAAATATTAAATTCGTCACAAATTAGTACTTTAAGTTTCGATGCAATGCGTACTTTTGTCCACTAAAAATTTTTTAATTCGTTACGAATTAGTATTCTCGTAGTTTCAACGGAACGCGTACTTCTGTCCCACAGAAAATTTTTAATTCGTCACGAATTAGTATTCTCGAAGTTGCGATGGATACTTCTGTCTCCCAAAAAATGTTTAATTCGTCACAATTTAGTACTTTAAGTCTCGATGCAACGCCTACCCGTGTGCCCCAAAAATATTAAATTCGCCAGAAATCGGGGTACGAGTATTCTACTATCTCCGCGAGCAACTGCAACTGCAGAACCCATTCTCTGTCCCAACTCTCCCGTCCCTTTCACGAAGCAAAGGGAAACACGATTGCGAACTTGGTCCGATTTAGTTTCAACTCGGCGATATTCGGTTATAACTCGGCGAGTTTCCTTTAGTCTTACAGCTTAGTCCGTATATCTCTGAGCTACATCCTGACATTGAATGTCCATTCCATTTACGATAGCGTGACTATCTAGACTACCTGCGTTCCAATAACACTCTTGCTACCTTGGATGCCGGACTCGGCTATTCTTTCCGACGTAATCGGCCACTCCTATGTAATCGAGATTTCACAGTAGCCTCTGACTTTTTCACCGATAACGGACGATTCATCCACCGATTGCGTTCATCCAGTTCGATTCGTAAACGAGTCATAGCAAAGTTGCGCGATCGAACGATTTCTTCCGTTCGATGATAAAGATCGTTGGTGCATCTCGTTGGAACATTGGGTTCCATGTATGTACACGTTGTCAGTGGTATCAGGCCAGTGGAACCGAGATGCTCCTCGACTCTATCAGCGGATGCACAGCGATCTCTGGACGTTGTGTTTAAAATTGGCAATCTACGGAAATATGCACTCGTTCTCTGGACCTCGTTTCGAGGGAAGAGGAGGGAGCGACGAAAGAAGGCAACAAAATGATAGCAACTTCGTATTTTTCAGCGCTCCTCCAGTGACATCACAGCCTGACTAATCTGTCAATTCCGTAAAGCAGAAAATAGAAATAAAATTATACGAATAATACAAAGAAATAAAATAATACCAGACAATTTAGAAGATTCGAAAAGTGAGGTTAGGTTAAATTAACACGAGTACCGTGCAATGTCACCGACGAAATTACAGACGTCTTTTATCTCTTGTTTATACGTAAACGTAACATGATATGCAAATTCCTGTATCCATGTTGCCATTCTGTCGCCTCATTTTGAAACTTTCCGAGAATTTTGCTCAATTGTCTTGCACGTCGTTGCGTTTACGCGCGTGCGTACGTAAAATTTGCAAACGCTGCATCGTCGAATGACCTTTCCTCCTTGTAAACACACGAAATTCTGGTTATACGATATTAACGAGTATGCAACTCGAATGGAATGTCCGAGATCGAGGAAAACCGATTTATTTTCGGCGGACCACGTCGCGTTCGATCATCGTTCGAAACATTGACGAGATTCTTTAAGATTACGAGTTTCTACGAAATCTCCATTATCATTCGAATGTACATCGATGAACGCAGTCACGATATAAGACAGGTCTAAAATAAGACGAGAGAGTTCTATATATAATAGGTCACTTAACGCTAGAACGTTCGTCGCACGATGTGTATCTAAGTATGCTACCATCCGATAAAAATAAACAGCTACGTGCAATTACGTTTCTATACTTGACATAGAGGGAACTCTTAAGATTAACCCTTTGAGCTCTATGAACGCATATATGGGTTCTTACACAGCCATTCAACTTGGGCTATGAACGCATATATGTGTCCTCACACAACCAATCTCTCAATCTGGGCCATGAACGCTGTATGATTTTATAAAATAAGAATTTTGTGAAAGTTTACAACTAGTTTAGAATATTGCCGAAACGTACTTTTCCTTGTATTTTAGTATTTAACCGATCAGTTTGTACTTTACGACTTAATTGCGCTGATACTTTGTCAGGCGCGTAGACCTGGGCAACGAACGGTTAAAGGAAATTTCGTGAAAAGCAGGCAGCCTAACGTGTGCTTTGTAAAAAGTGGGTGGTCCACACGCTTGACGTCACACAACTACGAATACTCCAAAATCACCTGGACTGAGACGATATTCCCCGTGCCAGGCGAAAGATGGCGAAAGAGAAAGGATAAACGGTGAAAAGACGGAAGAAGTCGTGGAAAAATGAGAAATCCGAATTATATAAAGGTATAACGCTGCCAGGTTCGAAGCAGGTAGTGCACCTGCTGTTTCTTCAGGCACGTTCTTACTTAACGTACTTACTTAACGCAACCGAACATTCTTGATCGATGTTATCCTCGATGATATCATCTATAAGACGAGGACAGAGAGCGAGGCGCAAATTGCACCCATGTTCGCGATTCAGCTGTTCCTTATCGCCTCGTTCAGCCTGTGATTACTCGTTGCATAATGAGGCAGGCTTCGATTTCGCGTGCGAGCGATCTTCGTATTCTTCGTCGTTGGACGGAGAACGCGAGGAGAAAAGCTCGGTGACGGTGACCTACGCTTCGTTGACACTAGACCTAGCACGACTAGGTAAATGACAGATAGATGGGAAAAGGAAAAGAGAAGAATTTTAAAGCAACGAAGTAAACGGAAAGTGACCAGAGCGACGAAAAGTTGATGAATGGTAAATTGAACAGTGGTAGGTTTAACGTTAATGACATCGTGGTGGACGTCGATGACTGGGCCTGACATAACGACTAGCCAAATGAGCTATGGATGAGAAAAGGTAAAGAGAAGAATTTTAAATTAATGAAGTAAACAGAAAATGACCAGGGCAAAAGAAAGTTTACAAATGGTAAATTGAACTGAATAGCAGGTTTAACGTTAATGACATCATGGTGGACGTCGATGACTGGGCCTGACATAACGACTAGCCAAATGAGCTATGGATGAGAAAAGGAAAAGAGAAGAATTTTAAATTAATGAAGTAAACAGAAAATGACCAGGGCAAAAGAAAGTTTACAAATGGTAAATTGAACTGAATAGCAGGTTTAACGTTAATGACATCATGGTGGACGTCGATGACTGGGCCTGACATAACGACTAGCCAAATGAGCTATGGATGAGAAAAGGTAAAGAGAAGAATTTTAAATTAATGAAGTAAACAGAAAATGACCAGGGCAAAAGAAAGTTTACAAATGGTAAATTGAACTGAATAGCAGGTTTAACGTTAATGACATCATGGTGGACGTCGATGACTGGGCCTGACATAACGACTAGCCAAATGAGCTATGGATGAGAAAAGGAAAAGAGAAGAATCTTAAAGCAACGAAGTAAACAGAAAGCGACCAGAGCAATGAAAAGTTGACAAATGGTAAATTGAACCATAGTAGGATAATGACATCATGTTGAACATCGATGACTGGTCGTGACGTAATTAACGAAAGGATCGAATCTAACGAAGAAAAGATCGAAGACGAGTGTCTGACGAGCTTATTGTCACGAGTGTCACCGGTGATCTACGCTTCGTTGACACTAGATTGGCACGATTAGCCAAATGAGCTATGGAATAGAGAAAATCATAAAACAATGAAATAAGCAGAAAATAATCAGGACAAGAGAAAGTTTACAAATGGTAAATTGAATTGAATAGTAGGTTGAACGTTAATGACATCATGGTGGACACCGATGACTGGTCGTGACGTAATTAACGAAAGAATCGAATATAACGAAGTAAAGATCGAAGACGGGTGTCTGACGAGCTTATTGTCACGAGTGTCACCGGTGATCTACGCTTCGTTGACACTAGACCTACCACGACTAGCTAAATGACCGATGGATGGGAAAAGAGAAGGATAAGAATCTTAAAACAATGAAATAAGCGAAAAGGGATCGGAGTGACGAAAAATTTATAAATGGTAATGGTAGGTTTAACATTAATGACATCATGCTGAGGTAATTAACGAAAGAATCAAGTCTAATAAGGCCATACGGAGCCTTCGAGAATTGAAGAAACTAGCAACACGTGGAAGATGAACTGACAGGTGATAGAAAATCCAGTATTTGACGTTTCCTAGACTAACAGTCGTCGTTCACTAACCGTTATCAACACGCGTTAATTACGTAACTCGTGAACGAAGAGCCAAGCGTAGGGAGCCGTAGATGGTCTGGGCGGGACCGATAAGCAATTCGAGTCTGACCAAAGATGGAAAAATCCTTCGATTATGGTTTATCTGTCGCTGAAACCATTGTTCACTTATTTTTCGACCGTGTTATCGTGACGCCGATTATTTCGCGACCTCGTCGGTCCCTGCGTAGTTGACAGCTATCAACCAACAAACGGCAGCCGTTTCTGCTTTCTCATCTGTCACCCTTCTGCTTCTAATTCCTTCTCGTAGACATCCATTCGAAGCACCTGTTGTTCTCGTTCCACGCCATGTGGACGATGACAGGAATGACGGAACGCGAGAAACGTGACCGATCTACTCGCGGATGCAGACTCGATCATGCGATTATCTTGCACGCGAAAAATTGCTACTCGAAAGAGAATCGATTGTCGTCCTGTGCACTCGATCGACCTTGATTCGCAATTACTTCCTAGTAGACGATGGACGATGCTTAACGCTATTCTATCTTGCGATTTCAGCGAACCTGTGCAGCGTGTCGGCTGGAGCTATGATGGGTTGGACGAGTCCGGTATTCCCGAGGTTGTTGAAAGTAGAAGGCAACCCCTTAGGTCGACCAATCACGCCGGACGAGAAGTCTTGGATCGGCTCACTGATTGCCGTGGGAGCGATCATAGGCAGTTTCGTGGCTGGCTACTTGGCAGAAAGGTATCGTTTCGTTTCTCCATTAGAGCGATTCCGAGTTGGCATAGTTTAGGGATCTCACGCATGGACAAGGTTGCCAGTTAATCGAGGAGGATCGAGGAGGATAACTGGCAGTTCTGATCCGAAGATAGCTTTCACCGATTCCTGTCACGCGTTGTAACGACGCGAAACTTTTACTCTTCGTTTCGATGCGGATGATCGTGCAACTTGCAGCTGATGCACACGAGCACATTCTCTCTTTCACCATTCCAGTCGATTACTCGGTCATTTCCACGTGACGCGTAACGACGCGTTCTTTCGAGGCTAGAATTGCCAAGCGAGTCGAAACGACTGGCCTTCCGTTTTTCCAGTCATTGAACACGTATGCAGATGCTTTCCGCGAAATCTGCGTTGACTTTTGCATAATTACGCGTCTACTTCAACGTATCGCTGTATTATATCGTCGTCCATGTACTGCGAGTTCGAGGAAAGAAGACAGAGTGTGTTTACATCCTCACGACTGATTAACTCCGTTGACACTATTTTGCTGACAGACGGTGACAGCTATTGACCGAAAACGGAAATCGATGATCTTCATCACGGTCTCGAACTGTGATCATGCCAGTGTTAGCAGAGTTAATCAGCCGTGAGGATGTAAACACGCTGAGCCATCTTTTCTCCAACGCGCTATACTTGTTTGTACACGTAGGTGCTGACTCTTAAGCATTGACAGTTAATCGATTAATCAGTCTCAGGATAGATAACCATAGTCTAGAAATAGTCAACGAAATTCCCATATCGTTCGATAAAAATCATAAAACCAATCTAATTCAACGTCTTGCTGATTTGACACAGATTGGGCAGAAAATGGACACTGCTGTCAGCGGCGGCGCCATTCCTGATCGGATGGATCCTGATCGGAACAGCCACGGTGGTGCCCCAGTTGTACGTTGCCCGAATAATCCTCGGTTTCGCCCTATCGTTCGCTTTCACGGTGGTGCCCATGTACTGTGGCGAGATCGCAGAGGTAATTTCATTCGCTTCATCCCCTTTCGCTGTCGCTCGATCGACCCTCCTTAAACCGTTGTTTACGATCACGCAGACGTCAGTCAGAGGAGCCCTCGGGTCCTTCCTGCAACTCTTCGTCACCATTGGCCTGCTGTACGCGTACTGCATCGGGCCCTACGTGTCCTACCTGGTGTTCTGGCTGCTCTGCGCCATTTGCCCTATCGCCTTCCTGGCCTGCTTCATCACTATGCCCGAGTCGCCGTACTACTTGCTGAAGGTCGGCAAGAGGACAGACGCGGTGAACGCTTTGGCCAGGCTTCGGAGCAAGTCTGCAGCCAGTGTGCAGAAGGAGGCGGACGAAATCCAGGTAATTAAACATTCAGCTGCGAGAGTTCGGGGGTAGCCTTGGCAGAGGGGTTGTTAGAGAAGCACGTGTCGAGGTCGCGAGATCGTTTCTCGGCGGGAGGACCGTCGTGTCGCGAATAATCGCGGCGTGGGTCGCGTGGAACGATCAATGGCGCGACGTTGATAACGGGGCAGCGATTATCGATGTAAACACGCGCGAAGGGAGGGAGGGGAAGAATGTGAAACTCGATTTCGTGTCTCTGGAGTATCGCGTGTTATGCGAAGTATCGCGTATCGAGCAATAAACGAGGGAGTTTAAAACGGAATCGAAGAGGAGGGAGTAGGGGGAGTAGGAGGGAGATAGGGAAGAGCTGTTCGATAAGCCGAGCCTCCCATAAACACAGGAATTTTACCAAAAATCGGAGAGGCAAGCGGCGATAAGGCCGATCGCGGTCGGCAAAGCGAGCGACGCAATATCGTATCGGCGTTCGGGTCACGTTCGTTGAACGAGGCCGGGGGTAAGGTCGTTCCTTGATCCGCCAATAGTAACGGCGTTCCTCCAACGTGCCTCTGCACGCTACTGAATCGCATAATCGAGTGACGAACGCGTCACGTGTCTCCGCGACTAGCGAGTTACTCGTGCTCGCGATCTTTCGCTTCTCGCGATCGCGCGATCGAAAATCGGACCGGCGCGACCATGTACATCGCTTCGTCCATGTCCCCCCTGTGACCTATGATTAACTCGACTCCCTCCTCGAAGGTTTTCATTCAGCTTTTTCGCGTTTAGTCTCATCGGGTAAGAATCGCCAGGCATCGGGCTATTTTCTCCGTTTGCAACGAAAAGAAATTTAGGTAGACTCGAGAAGAGAGTCTGATGAGTTATTCTAACGTGTCTATGTCGGTTCTGTCTAGGCTGCCGTTGACGAAGCCTTCAGGACCGAAGCGAAGGTCACCGACCTGTTCACCGTTACTACGAACCGCAAAGCTCTGCTGTTCACGTGCCTGCTAGTTATGTTCCAACAGTTCAGCGGCATCAACGTGGTCCTCTTCTATATGGAGGACATCTTCCAGAGCGCACGCTCCTCGCTACCCAGCGCGCTGTCAACCATAATCGTCGGCGCTGTTCAGACCGGGTCCTCGGCAGTCACTCCGGTGATCGTTGACAAACTCAATAGAAAGACACTGCTAGTATTCTCCGGCATTGGCGAGACCGTCGCCCTGGTAAGTGTTGCATTACCTCGTTTCCATAAAAATGACATATTAATAGCGTTTGCGTATCACGAAGATCGTCATCCGCGAACTCTCGATCCCTCCTTATCGCGCTACGTTGCTTCGTTCTACGTATTTCTCTAAAAACACTGCGTGTAAACATTGACCCGCGTCATGCTGAACCATCCTATCTAGTTCGATCGGTATTCGATTACCCGATTGCTCGCTGGCTCTGGATGATAACGTCTGGTAAGTTGATGGATCGAACGATCCGAGGTAGGAGGAATATTCTGTCATATTCTGACGAAACTACAACGTAATTTTCAATCTCAATGGTTTGCACTTGTCATATTAGCTCCGAAAATTATAAGAACGCGTTGATCTTAGTTATTATCGTTAAATCTAGGATCCTCTAGATATCGTTGACCGCGTGTTCGACAACACTGCTCTGTACCACTTGGTCACCACGTGTGCCGTTCATTCTCTTCCTCGCGGAGTAGGATAATTCTGCGTAATTCTATTCGTGAACACGAAACTTCTAGGCAGCAATGGAAATTCGCGTGATCCAGTTTCACGACTATATTGGATAAGATGAGCGAGATTCATGAGACTCACGCGTGTTACTACGCGTTAACGAAACGATCGGAAGTAAGATTCTGCCGGATTCCAGCCGGTGTCGTAACGACAATTTGTAACTAACGTCTCTTACGCTTCGAAGCGTCGCTTAACGAGAGCAAATTACCACGGGATCTTTGAAATCTACGAAACTGCTGTCTATTGTCGTTCCGAGAACCAGCGTAACGTCGATTTCGATTCACGGTTTGGTTTTTCGGTCAGCTCCATTTCAGCGAGTCTCTCGCCTGCCACGATACGTTCCGACCACCACATAAGCTTGTTTTTCGATCTGTTACCTAATCAGGTTACGTGATAGTGTATTTCGTAAGTACCTGTCGTGATTTACGGTCGTGCGGAGACCGCTGCACCGCTGCATAATGCAAAGGTTGAGGTCGTGCTCAGAAACACGCGGGATTTGACTGTCGTTGGATCAATTTCTCCAGTGAGAGTGATAATCGTGCATTTTAATCGCCATTTTATTTTGGAAATTGCAATCGATCGTTTAGGAACGTTTTAAAGCTACGTGGACTATTTATAAAGCGAATATTTCGAAGAGGAGCGAGGTTGCGCCTTAGGGAACGCTAGTTTGCGTGCCGGGTGGCGCTAGTTGTTTCGGTACCGCGAAAATAAGTCCCGTATTATTATCTTTCTCCTTTCTCCGGAAAATATAGCAATAACGCGGTATACTCTATGCAATTTTATCTATTCAATGATAGCTGAATTCACTGATCATATTTTGGAGGGAACCTGGTTATCACTTGGACAGGTGGCGCTAGTTGAATCGGTGAAAGTAAATTTCGTATGACTAATCACCTAGTTGCACATATTTATTTCCAAAATTCCAATCGGTCTTCAAGATTTCAAACCGAGATTAAATTTCGAAAAAGGCACCGGTTATTACGCTGCATAGGTGGCGCTAGTTGGATCGGTACCGCGAAAATAAGTCTCGTATTATTACCTTTCTCCTTTCTCCGGAAAACATAGCGATAACGAAGTATACTCTACGCAATTTTTTGATCAATTCAATGATATCAGAATCCACTGATTATATTTTGAAGGAAACCTGGTTACCACTTGGGCAGGTGGCGCTAGTTGAATCGGTAAAAGTAAATTTCGTATTACTAATCTCCTAGTCGGACACATTTATTTCCAAAATTGCAATCGGTCTTCAAGATTTCAAACCGAGATTAAATTTCGAAAAAGGCACCGGTTATTACGCTGCATAGGTGGCGCTAGTTGGATCGGTACGGCGAGGGTCGAAAATAGCCTCGTAATTCTAACCTCCTCCAGAGAGACTACACGCCACCTGTTTTATCTTACATCTCAATAACACGTTCGATTATTTCCACGATGGATTGACAGCTCTACTGAAATTCCATTATCGCTTAATTAGCATCGCCAGAGGATTGCATAAAGCGCCAGATCGTATCTACATCGCATTCCATCGCTCGTAATCGCTATTACGATTCCACAAACGGGACTCGAGGTCGACAAAGCTGAATCCTGGACGGTGTCCCGGTGGATTTCGGAACGAATCTCGTAGTCTCTTCGCGCGCTCGTCCGTGGCCTTGATCCACTGTCCTCGTCGCGTTCCGCAGGTATTACAAAATAGCGGCAACAAATCGATCGCGGCCTTGCAGCGTCTATTCAAATCGATTTATGTAACCTCGCGATCGTGTGTGCATGTACTCCTGATGCGCGTTGCATTCCATCGGTGCAGCACGGACATATGTCGAAGTCGAGGTCGTTTGCACCCGGCCTTCGTCGCTCTTTTCATCGCCGTGGCCTGCTACCCCGGCACCATCTTGCGTTCGCCAACCCCTTTGTCCGTTTTTCGAAATTTTCCAAGCATTTTTCACGTCACGAACTATTCGCTATTATTCCCTACTGACTTCTCTTCTAATTCATTTTAACCAGTACTGTCAAATTATTTACGAATTACTTTCTATGAAGAGCCACTGCACTTTTGCAATTTTTCATCGGTTTTTGTATTTGTATAATTCTTAAAAAAAAGGATTTCATTTTACTTTTTCACGTCGAAAATTTTTATTGGGTCTTTATTTCATTCTTACCTGAACCGTGATACGGAATTGTCTGGAATTTGAAATTATGCGGCATTATTAGCTCACATTGACACCCCTTTCTTTCATTTCAATGTGTACTCTGATTAAATTATTTTTATTCACGAATAGTCCCAAGAATTTTGGAAAATTCGCATATCTTTTGAACTTGTCTGAAGCTTTTTATTTTTCCTACTACATGCTTTCGTGGAGCCATAGTTACCGATGAATTTTCAAAATAAATAAATAATTTCAACATTTTGGAGTTTCACATTCGCATGAAAAATTTTCCAGCATAAAATTCGCACTTATTCTTCGTTTAAGAAATTGTAAAATCAACTGAAGCAGAAGAATGAGATATATAATTTGATAATGGAGGATAAACTGTTCAACCTGTACCTGATGTAAAATTAAAAATTCCTTTAATTAATAATAATAATAATTATGGAGGTAATAATCAAAATCTAATACTATTTATTCGAGAAAAAGATATACCTGGTGAACTTAATATTAAAGGAATTAATCAATTACCAAACCCACCAATTAAAAAAGGCATTACTATAAAAAAATTATTAAAAAATCACGTCTTGTTACTAAAGTATTATATAATTGATCATTTTTGAAAAATCCTCCTGGAACTCATAACTCTATTCGAATTAAAAATCTTATTGAAGATGCAATTATTCCTGATCATATTGCTAATAAAAAATATAAAATACCAATATCTTTATGATTAGTAGATATAAATCATTTTATTTTAAATAAAATTTAAATATTATAAATTTATTTTTAATTTTGATTCTTCCCCCACCAGACAAGTGTCTTTCCGTGTACGTTCATTAAACACTTTTGACGAGATCTCCACGACGTGTTCCAAATGAATCATCTTCATCGAATCCTCGATAAGAGCTGCAGCTGATCGAACGAATTTCCTCGAGGACCAAGAATTTCCTTCCGATTTTCCGGGAAACTCGGAGACCGTGAGAACGAACCTCGGCTCTCGTTCGATTGCTGATTCCTCGAGGTAATCTCCGCGGAGCGTGCCTGGCAGAAAATTTCCGTAAACAGAGACGCATCGACACGGAAACGGTCTGCGCGTTTCGATGACTTCACACGCGTGGAATCGTGAGGCCGAGCAGTTACGCGGATTGTTGCACCGACGACCATAATCAATGTCAATGCCTCGTTACGTGCACGCGCACGCAGGATCGATGGTTGCCGCGCGGTTATCTAAATTTCGTAATGACGTGACGCACGGCGAGCGGAAATGGGGAGAAAAGCGGAGAAGAGAGGGAAATGGATTATCGGCGCGACACGCGCCGCGTACCTGCAGGAATGTCTGGAACGCGGTTAATTGCCGTCACGGCTAATTTTCTGATCCATCGATCGATCCGTCGCTCGATTACGCTCTCTGCGCCCCGCGTCGATTACCGCGCGACAAAGTGCGCTTCCAAGATCTCGATGCATTGGTACAACACGTGTTCGTCGAGTAGCATATTTGCGATCGCAACGAGAGAAGGAATCTTGTTCAGTAACCTCTCACTTGCCGTTCAATCCCCGGTATCATCGTTGCATTCTAATAATTACCCGACGGATTTATAATATAACAGGTTTGACAGCGAACAGGTTTCGCGATGGAAATAGCGTTGGAACGGAGAGCGTGGGAAATCACTGTCATCCGGTATCCGATATCTCGATGACGCTTTAATTCTTTCGCTTTGACAGTTTAGTTCCCCGAAGTACCGTCACTAAATCGGAAGCGCGTGACAGAAGTATGCACAGTGCGCGTGGTTTCTGTATATTTCTGTATCTAAGTCTAATTTCCTAAGTCTTAAATAACAACATGAAAGAATCTTGTTCAGTAACCTCTCACTTGCCGTTCAATCCCCGGTATCATCGATGCATTTTAATAATTACTCGACGGATTTATAATATAACAGGTTTGACAGCGAACAGGTTTCGCGATGGAAATAGCGTTGGAACGGAGAACGTGGGAAATCACTGTCATCCGGTATCCGATATCTCGATGACGCTTTAATCCTTTCGCTTTGACAGTTTAGCCCCCCGAAGTACCGTCACTAAATCGGAAGCGCGTGACAGAAGTATGCACAGTGCGCGTGGTTTCTGTATATTTCTGTATCTAAGTCTAATTTCCTAAGTCTTAAATAACAACATGAAAGAATCTTGTTCAGTAACCTCTCACTTGCCGTTCAAT